TATGCGTGGTACATCAGATTTCGGAACACATCCTCAAGAAGCACCACACACGAACACACACACACGCACACACACACATTCATCCGCACTCACACACGCACACACAGCCACACGCACGCATACGCACAGCCACACGCACCCACACACACACACACACACACGCACACATACAGCCACACGCACACGCACGCATACGCACGCACACGCACACGCACACATCTGTACCCACATGGTTGGTGTGCCAGTCTCTGCTCAGCTCAGTCAGCCTGCGTTCTTCCAACACGCCGTTGTTTGTGTTGTGCTCTTGTGTCCGTTGACGACAAACCAAAACTGCGGTTACCGAAAATTATCGAATATTTTCATCTACATTTCGTCACGGCCAGCACCCAAGATGACGCTGGCTGCGCCTGTGGTTGTGGCGGTGTGCATGACTAGTGCCTTGCTCTTGCTGTTGGCGTGCACGGCTGGCGCTGCGGCTGCGGCTGGCACGGCAAGCAGCCGTGCTGGTCGGTCGTTTACGGTGGTTGAAGGATTCAATGCCGTGCCGCGAGGGTGGAAGGTGTCCGCCAGCTCCTTGCAGGAGTGCATGGACGTGTGCGACCAACAGGCATGCTTGCAGTTCAGCTTCAACGAGCTGTTCCACGTCTGCTACCACAGCAACCTCACCTCGTGGGCGGGCCTCGTGAACGACCACATCATCAGCGGCTGCATCGATTCGGCCGTTGCCAGGTGTGGCGACGTGCCCTCTCCGCCGGAACCGAGCCCGAAGCAGCTTAAATGGGCAGTCTCTGGAGCACCAAACACGAGCGACCCGGCCTGCGGCTTCCCCACCTTGAGCCCCGCCCTGGCGCCCGTCGGCCGCATCTACCACGCCACGCCCGAGATTGGCATGTACAACCACGCAGCCATGATCGACTTCTTCGACAGCAACTTCTTTGTCTCGTGGAAGAACTCCCCCTTGCATGAGGACACGCCTGGCCAGCGCATCCTCTACTCGCAGTCGACCGATGGGCTCTCCTGGACCCCGACCGACGGCAGGAACGTGCTCTTCCCAAACATGTCCAGCAACAGCAACCCGGCCGCCCTCTTTGCAGGCCCGACCGTCATCCTCAACGGCAGGCGCTACGCCACCGCCAGCCCGCACCAGTTCTGCCTCTTCCCATACCCGTACGTGGGCGAAGGATACGTGCTGCTGCTGCGGCGCGTGGGCAACACGATTCCGGCCAAGCTGGGGCCCATCTTCTGGGCAAACCCGACTGTCCCTTTCGGATTTGAGGAGGCAACGAAGCGCAACGGCGTGCTCACCTCTGCGCAGATGGATGCAGAGACGCAGGCCGACCTTGCACTCCTGGACAACTGGAACCACCTGCCCTGCGGCAACACCAACGGAAGCGCATCGCTCAAGTGCGAGATGTGCCTCAACGGCTGTGACGACTTTCTTCGCCGCGACAACGTCGATGATGGTCGTGCTGATGGTAGTGCTGCTACTTCTGCTGCTGCGTCTGCTGCTGCTTCTGCTGCTGGTGGTGGTGGTCGTGGTGGTGGCCACAGGCATGATGGTGGTCGTCGTGGTGGTGGTGGTGGTGGTGGTGGTGGTGGATTTGCAGGCAGCAGGGGACGGCTTGGTTCCCTCGGCGGATCGAGCGAGGAAACGCATTACACCGTGCCGCACTCGAGCGCTGGCGTTATCCTGCACCGCACGGGCAACAACCTGGCGTTCACGTACCGTCCAAACACAACTGTGCAGTGGAGCATCCCCTGGATATCTGAGCTGCCGGACGCAGGCTCCAACCTCAACGCGGGCACCCTTCCTGATGGCCGCGTCTTCCTCGCCTCAAACCCGTGCCCGCACCGCCGCTACCCGCTCGTCATCTCCACCACCCGGGATGGCTTCACGTGGGACAAGGCCGTGGGCGTGCTCAGCTGCGAGCAGCTTCGAAACACGTCGTTTTGCGCGCAGGGCGCAACCCCGTCGCTCGCCTACCCGCAGGCCGTCGCTGTCACAGCGCCAGCGGATGTGGCCGGCCTATACGTTGTCGTCTCCGTGAACAACTCTGTCCGGGTCCCGTACACCGCCCTTTGAGTCGCTTGTGCTCGATGTGTGTGTGTGTGTGTGTGTGGGGGGGGGGGTTTGTGTGGCGATAGGTGTTTTGCCTGTACGTGTGTCTGGACGTGTGCGTCTGTATGTGTGCCGTCGTCGTTGCTGTTGCTGCTGTTGCTATTGCTGCGGCATTGACACTGTCGTGACTTCGGCTCGTTTCTACAAATGGCCTGTTTTGTTGCATCTGCATGGCAGCTGCCACTGCTTCGTTTTTGCCCTTTGCCATGTTTCTGAGCGTTCTGTTACTGCCTTGCTTGTTCAGGGTGCCCATCTCTTTCCTTTGTTATTCTGCTTTGAGTCGCTTCACGATCGCTGCATGGAGCAATTGCAACTTGGAACAATGTCAGACACGAACACATGTCCCAGCAGCAGTCGATCAACACACACGCACACACACACACACACACACACACACACACACACACACACACACACACACACACACACACACAAACAAAAAGGAACAAACAAACAACCCAGCAGACACTGGAATGGCCTTCGCGTACAACGAAAGAAATTTACGTATTTTCATTCGTGAATTCTCGTCTTTACAGCGGCTTTGTTCCAAGCGGCCAAGATGAAGCGAGGAACAAGCGGCTGTGTGCTCGCGCTGGCGGTGGTTGCACTGCTGCTCGGTGGCGGTTACGCCCAGAGTACCTCCTCTGCGGCAGCAACCAGCACCACGACAACACGCGCTCCCTCAGAGGTGGCTGTCGGTGCGTTCCACATCTTGTGTTCGGTGCCATTGTGTACATATGTGTGTGTGTGTGTGTGTGTGTCTGTGTGTGTCTGTGTCTATCTGTGCGTCTGTGTGTCTGTGTGCCTGTGTACTTCTTTGTATGTACGTGCGTGGTGCACGCAGTCAATGTACTCTCTGATTGCGTGTGGCTTGTGTCTCCGTCGGTTAACTTTACGACGCGCAAGACACCACACTTCCTTTACTTATCACACCTCTTCTCTCTAACCCACACTTGCACAACCATACACACACACACACACACACACACACACACACACACACCTTTTTATCTGTAGACTTCCGTCGCCCGTCTGCAACGTCCGTGTACGAGTATGGCTACGTGCGCAAGAAGGAGTCGTTCCGCATTGCCGAGGAACGGTGCCAGCTCTACTATGGAGGGCAGCTCGCCTCGATCCATTCGCTGGCGGAGCACGACTTCATCTTCTCGCTGTGGAACGACCGCAGGGTGGAGGTGTGGATCGGGGGCCAGCGCGATACAGCCGCGCCATCGGGGTGGTCGTGGGTCGACGGAACCCCGTTCGACTTTGAGCTGTGGATGGTTGGCGAGCCCAACAACTACCGCGCCAACGAAGACTGCATCCGCATGGGGCACACGACCCAGGGCTTCTTTGGTCTGTGGAACGATGCGCGCTGCAACCAGCGCCGCAACTACGTGTGCAAGCGCCTTGCCCCGCAGCCCACGATCCAGCCCCCGTTCCCCACAAGCACCACAACCACAACGAGCTCGGTCAACCTCGTTCCGCCCGGCTTCATCCTGGACAACGGCTTCGTGCAGAACCCGGCCACGGGCTGCTACTACCTCGTGTACACGCGGCCGCGCTTGTCCTGGTTTGATGCGCGGCAGGAGTGCAAGCGCCTTGGCGGCCCCAGCGCCGACCTCGCCTCAGTGGAGAGCATCGAGGAGAACGCGTACATCGACAGCCTGTTCGATGCCATCGGCGCCACGGACCGCCCGCGGTGGATTGGCGGGTACCGCGACCTGGCCACGGGCAACTTCCTGTGGGCAGACGGCACGCCGTGGGCGTTTACCAACTGGGCTAACGGGGAGCCCAACAACCTGAACAACGGCGAGGACTGCGTGTCAATGGGCTTCCGTCGGTTCGGCGGCGAGGAGTGGAACGACGCCGACTGCTTGACGCGCCGCCGCTTTGCGTGCAAGGTGTGCCCGCCGTTCCCGGGCGCCACCACCACCGTCGCCGCAACAGCCAGCTCCCAGGCAACCACCACCACAACCACCGCCACAAGCACGGATTCACAGACCAGCACCACGTTTGAGTCTACATCCACCTCCGCCGTGGTCAGCACTCCTTGAGAGAGTGCTGATGTTGCCTCTAGCAGGGGTTGACAGTCCCGTTGTCCTGTTGCTGCCTGGCGGCCATGGCGTTGTTGTTGTTGTTGTTGTTGTTGTTGTTGTTGTTGTTGTTGTTGTTGTTGTTGTTGTTGTCGGCTCTTCTTTCTCTTTCATGTATGCATGTGTGTGTGTGTGTGTGGCCTGTGGTTTGGCCGCGATCTGTTCAACGAGGCCCAAGATGGTGCTCTGTTCCCTCCCAACCAGCTTTTCCGTTCCTTAAACTAACACTGTCCGGACATGCGATGAGAAGAGCAACGTGCTTCTGTGTGGAAGATAGTGTTCAATAATGCGAATGCACTCCGCACATAGACACGTGATTGACGCAATGACACGCACACACGCACACTCACACATACACACAACAAAAGTCGACAAGACGAACAGCGAGGCAGACAAGCACAACGAAGAGTACGTACGCATGTGCAGGTGGGTGCGTGAAGGTGGAAACGTGGAACGGGTTGGGGTGTGGGGTCAGGCCATGAGCGCGGTACAGCCGCAAACATACAACATGGCATGAAGGCAGATGAGCGTGATGCTCAACACGAAGAAACACAAAGGGCAATGCTTGAACGGGGTGCAGTTTAGCTGTCCCGGTTCGTGGCCTTGTCAATCTGGGTTGTGTGGTGTGTCCACACGTGTGATGGAAACAAAACAGCGCATGGCAAGACAAGGAGTGGGGTGAGGCTGAGCATTGGGCGGCAAACAAGCGGTCAAGCACGCAAACGCAAAGGTCAAAAAGGAACCGCGGAAGCATACACACTACGACGCTTGTGCAAATGAACACACCTGACACACACGCGCACAACCAACAGAATGTAAAACAGTGCACACACACAAACAGCGCACACACACACACACACACACACACACGCACACACACACACACACACACACACACACACACACACACACACACTCACACACACACACAGTCGCACCTTTGCTTCCACAAACTCCAGTGACCGTTCCAGCGAACCAAGCTTCTCGTTCAGCACTGCAAGGCGGTACCGCGTCGAGTTGTCTGCAACGGCACATGCACCCACCCATCCAACAGCCAAGCCATTGCAAACGACACCAATTGTAAAGTAAGCAAACAAGCAAAGGCATCAAGCAAGCAAGCAAGCAAGTAAGTAAGCATCACATGTCCACAACACCAAACATACATGATCACACCCAGCACCACACACACCACCACGCACTCTGCATCTGCACGCAACATACCAAAGTCGTTCAGGAACTCTGTGATGCGGCGAATCCCCGAGGAGATGGTCTCCACAAACTCGCGCGTCTGCCAGTCTGCCTGGATCGCGCTCTGCGGCGTGGGGGGCATGTCAGCCATGGTCGCTGCTGGTGGTGTGCGGTGGTGTGGTGGTGGTGGTGTGTGTGTGTGCGCTTGTGCTGTTTGTATCTGTGGTGGTGAATTGGATTGGCGACGACAGCGACATTCAAAAAGATAGTGGATACAGCCACAAAGCAAACACAAGCAAACAACAACAAGCAAAGCCATCATGTTTCGGCGACGGAAGGTGTGTGTGTGTGTGTGTGTGTGTGTGTGCGCGACCGCCCTCATCGGCGTTGTCGTT